CTTTCATGGTGTTTAAAAATCCTCTGTCCAACAGAAACATCCAGTTCCGAATGTCTAGTAAAGAGGGAAACTCATTTTTGGCTTTAAATGCCCTCTTTTACTCGGTTTTTAATATAAAAAATCTTTATTTAGAATAAACTTAAGCGTTTGTTACTAGTGCTGTGTGGATGCAGTAGAATGTGTCCCCTTGCATGTAGTGTATTCCCTTATATTTTTACAGTTAGGGTTTTTGCTTGTTAGAGAGCTGTCAACATATTCCATTATATTAATGTTCTATTTCTTTTACTGTATTTTATCCCTGCCCCTTTCTATGGTTTTACTAAGAGTTCTTATATCTTTCTGTATTTGCCTTTTATTAGGTCCAGGGACACAGTTATCGTCCTTTGAATTTCGTTGTCTACAAAAAAGTCCCTAGTGCGGACAGTGTTTAACTTGCGCACATTTTGTTCATACACCTTCCAAATTTATTTCCTTATATTTTATGCATACAATAGTAAGTAGGGAGGTGAAATTACATGTATAAAGAGTTTTGAATAATTTTTACATGTAGGTAAAGTAGTGATCTGGTCCAGTTTGAAAAGGTCAAAAATTAGTATGTCTAAATCTGAAGCTGTCAGACTGTATTATACACCCACTCTACATAAAATTGTCCTTAATTTGAGTGACAGTATATATACTTTTCTATAATTTTGATTCAATATAGTTTTTATAAGAATTATTCGACTGCTTTATAAATTGTTTATATATTCCGTTATTGTAATTCTTATTCAATGTTATGACTTTCGGCCTCATTTAATTTTCTCATCACCATTAATTAATCATGATTTTACGAAATGGCAAGAAAACAATATAAACCCATCCTTCAATGATATTCACGTGCTCCAAAAACCTCATTCCATGTATAAATTCAACCGCCGTCAATCGAAATTCCCCTTCTTAATTTAGCACTTTTTACAATTGTGTCAAAGGTGGTATAGCTGCTGCAGCCAGGTTATTAAATAAAAATGCACGTGGATATCCACAAATATTCCCGTGCGATGCCAGAAAATGACTAACCTGATCTAGATTATCTTCTGATAATACTGTTAGGTCACCAGTGAACGGGAGAGCTTTTTCGCTTTCCTTTTCCTGTGACATTACATGAAAAACTCAAAGCTTCATTTATCTGGTTACTTGAACAAAGCCAAAGTGTGGTACAAACAGGACGTGAATTTTTAAACGAACACAGGAACATCTATACCGCTTCCGAAAACCTAAGAAATTCAAAAGTATAATTTACCAACATTTAGGTAAACACAACCACAATATTAAATTTATAAGATCCCAACCACTCGAAACGATCCAGAAACAACAAGGGCAATCGCATAAACAATTTAAAGATTCCCGTAAAATTATCGAACTGTCTTGGATTAAATGACTGCAGACAGCATATCCCCTTGGTCTGAATGACAATATACTTGGACAAGGGAACATATCTCAAACTTCTTCTATTGATATCATGAATATTGTTGATAAAAGACAACGTAATAATAGGTCTCATGGCAAACGTATCAATCGAAATCAACGAATCAAACATCGTATAAATTATACACTTGATGATCATCTATATTTAAAAACAATTGTAGGCATCAATTATTATGTAAACTGGGTCAAATACCAATTAGTAAATTACATGATATTTTCAAGGAGAGTGACAGAATCTCGTTCTTCAGCCCACTCTATGAATATTCGCGTATAATAACATCTTTTTGCCACCATAGGCTGTTCCCGCGTATCGATAAACCTTAAGATCATAAACGGCACTTTATGAAAATTAAATATATTAACAGAGGTATTGATTTCATCAACTTATCGAGTATATTTAATGACTCTTCCATTCAAAACTGTATACCTCCCTATTTTGATAACACAGAACCACCTATTATTTCGCAAACATACAAAAAAACCAGCAGAAGTTTTATTTTTAATTATACGTCAGTAACATCAGACGTCAATGTAGAAAATTATACTCCTCTAACTTGATACTGTGAATCGTCGAATTTTAGATAGGAACCCAATGGCCATGTTATTACGGGGGACCTCAATATCGTTTAAGACCGAGATGATAAAAACTTTTTGAAAAAAAGGACCAAAATATCGTCCTCCATCTAAAATAGGTTGGAAACAGTGTCGTCAGGGCACAAAAGACGCTCTTTCATCGTATTTTAAAAAATTGGTGTAAACGGGAAAAATCTGATAAAAAATCTCTTGATTCTTATTTAAAGATGTATGAATGTGGTGGATATTCGAATATCACATTTTTGAAAATAATTCAGAAATTAATAAAAGAGTACATAATACGCCTATTTCTAGAATAAGAAATAAACTTCAAGTACTTTCAAAGCGGTTTGTGTTTGAACCGGCTGACAAAGCAGCCAACAATGTGGTGGTGGTATGCTGTAAATACTACACGGACGGTCTTAAGAATGAAATTTTAAATTCATCTACATTCAAGTCCGTGCGCTCCACAGAGTCATATAATAAACAAACATATCATAACCACAACACAGCTTAAGGCCTCTTCTGAACATTTGAAGGTCCCTACTATGTATTGGTTACCTAAACTACACAAAAAACCAATAAAATATCGTTTCATCTCGGCCTCTAGTAAATGTTGTACAACTAATCTTTCAGTGCAAACTAGTTCCTTAACTACTACAAAGAACTTATCAATAACTTTTGTAATAAAATATATGAAAATATTGGAATTAACTATTTTTGGAGTGTAAAAAATTCTTTGGATGTTTTAGATAAATTACGTGCTTTTGATGGTCCTTTTGATTCTGTTGACAGTTTTGACTTTTCAACTCTTTACACTACACTTCCAAACAATCTTATCAAACAGAAGTTTTCCTATCTAATTTAATGGTCGTTTGGTAAATCTGAATGCAAATATATTTGCTACAACTCACTTAAAGCCTTCTTCTCTAATGAGAAAGGTAAATATGCTAGATATACTTACTGGAGGTGTGATGAGATGATTGAAGCTGTTAATTTTCTCCTTGATAATATTTATGTACGTTTCGGCAATAAAGTTTAGCGACAGGTTGTAGGTATTCCTATAGGCACCAATTGCGCCCCTTTAATAGCAGACTTGTTCTCATTCTGTTATGAATCACAGTTTATGACCAAACTCAGTAAAGACCCGTCTAAGTTGCATTTAATTGATAAATTCAACAAAACACTTACCGTTATCTTGATGATCCTTTTTCGTTAAAAAATCAAAAATTTTCTAAATATACTGCCGAAATCAACCCAAAGGAACTTACTTTAAATAAATCAAATATAAAAATTAATAACTGTCCTTTCCTAGATTTTGATATTTCAATTATACACGGGAATTTCTACACTAAAATTTTACGACAAAAGGGACGATTTTTCGTTCCCTATTGTTAATTGTCCTTTTTGGATGGTGATGTTCCTTTGGCACCATCTTACTGTGTTTATATATCACAACTCGTTCGCTCGCTATGCCCGTGTCTGTTGTGAATTTTGGATTTTAATTAACGTAATCTATGTATTACTGGTAAATTATTAAGTCAGGGATTTCGTTACAACAAATTACTTAAAACCTTTACTAAATTCTTCCATAGATATAAAGATTTGGTTTTGAAGTTTGGTTGTACCTGCAGAAAACTTATTTCAAACGGGATAGCACATCCTCATTTTAACGGAGATGATGTTTACCGAGCCCGGAAATTTAGAAACGATCCGGGTAAACTTATCGATCCTTTAAATAAACTTATTCTAAAAGGTTACCAATTCAACATTGTAATTAGATTTTTGAATATTGTTTTTATTGGTATTAATATTGATTTTGTTATCAATAAATTAAAATCAAACTAAATATTATTGTTATACACATATGCACATTCATGGCTGTACAATCTGTCGATACCTGTATCTTGGCATTGCACAAGGTCATGTTTTACTCTGACTGTTTATGACGTCTTTACACTAAATCCATTGGATGTTGGATGTGTACTGATTGATAATTTAGTGTTAGATGCATGATTTTTTTTATTAGTTGTTATTGGCTTTGAACTATCTGTCAGTAACTGCGAGTACTCTCAGATCTGTACTTAGTGTCTTTTTGTTGTTGGGATGTACAAGTACTCGTCCACGTCCACTCTGTGTTTTTGTTAGATGTATTTCTATTTGTATCCATCTGATGAGTTAAGCCTTTTTCAACTGATTTTTATAGTTTGTTCTTATGTTGTACTGTTACACCACTGTCCCAAGTTAGGGGAGGGTTGGCGCCTTCAAACTAGTTTAACCCCGTCACATTCTCTACGTGCCTGTTCCAAGTCAGGAGCCTGTAATTCAGTGGTTGTCGTTTTTTGCTGTTTCTCATTATTTTTTTTTCGTTTTTCGTTTATTGTTTTGCATAGTATGTTCTTATATGTGCCGTTACACCACTGTCCCATGTTAGGGGGAGGGTTTGTCGCCAAAAAACTAGTTTCACCCCGTCTCATTCTGTATGTGCCTGTCCCAAGTCAGGAGCCTGTAATTCAGTGGTTGTCGTTTGATGCTGTGTTACATATTTGTTTTTCGTTCATTATTTTGTTCATAAATTAGGCCGTTAGTTTTCTTGTTTGAATTGTTTTACATTTGTCATTTCGGGGCCTTTTATAGCTGACTATGCGGTATGGGCTTTGTTCATTGTTGAAGGCCATGCGGTGACTTATAGTTGTTAATTTCTGTGTTATTTCGTCTCTTGTGGAGAGTTGTCTCAATGGCAATCATACCACATCTTCTTTTTTATATTATATTAATGCATCTAGTTCAACTCCGGTTTTTTAGTTAGGTTCGTGTTCATGTAGTGTTTTAAAACTTTGACTGTTCGTCGTTTTTCGTTTTTTTCCATGGCATTGTTTGTTTTTCTTTGAAATTTTTTCCATCGCATTGTCAGTTTTTCTTTGACTTATGAGTTTTAAATCTTCAATTGGTATCTTCCGCCTTTTTTTGTATGAATAAATTGTGATGCTCAGTATTCAAAAGACACAAAAGACCTAAAACTATTACAGCTAATGTAAATTATCAGGCTTTTAATTGTCCTTGAATGAAATTGAAGCTTCAAAAGAACTTCGAAAAGGTGAAATAAATATTTAAAAAAGAACTTCGAAAAGGTGAAATAAATATTTAAAAAAGAATCTTTGAAAGGGCTTTTCTCACATACAGAACCTGGTTACCGAACAAGATTATTGAAGCTGTGATCTATTTGGGATCTTTGGCTTATGCACTTAATGTCTATCAAGACGACAGATGACTTTGACATAATTAAGATACTATTCTAGAATGAAGGATTCATTTCAATATGACACAACATCGAAGGTGAAGTGAAAACATAGTTGTCATTTGCCTGGAAATAGACATTTTATTTGGGTTTATAAAAAGAAAAGTAATGCATAATTATATAAATGAAGTCATCAAAATGTTTTGCAAGTGAATCTTATGTAGATAATATGTTTTAAAAATGTCAATTTAAATGTAGTTTGCAAATCGACGAGAAAAAAAAAAACAAAAAACAAAACAACAAACCAAACGCAACGCAACACACAGAAATGTAAAGACTAAGCATCATGATCCTAACAAAATATAGAGAGTGATTTCAAGTGCTCTGTAAGGGTAAACAGTGCCTGCACTACTAGAAGCACCCGTATTGCTACTCACCACAGGTAAATAATGATAATAATAAGGGACAGGATTTTGGCTATGAAAATTAATGGGATCATCCATGATCATTAGTGACACAGATATTCACATATGATATAACAAAACAGGATGGTTTCTATAAAAATCGTCTAAGAACTTACTTTACCTTAATACGAAGAACAGTCGGAATAAGAACCTTGCAGAATCCGTATCTAGAAGATTTCTCTCTATATTTTTTGTCAGTGAAGCTGCAAGTAGTCACTGTTGTGTTGTCTAGTATTTTAAAGATTCGTGTGATACTTTTTATGTATTATCTAATGTGAAAAATCTGATACGCATACTTGTCAGTTTCTGCTGAAACCTAATAAATGTTTTTCAATTATGGTAATTTTTTCAGAACTAGTAATATTTTGACTTGGCTAAGTGTAACGTAGTGGCTTTCTTGCAACATGATGGTCTAGGAACAGCAACCATGACTATTTCTAAGTAAATTCAGGCAAAATGTAGTATGACACAACCTATATGAACATCACATTTTTAAAACAAATTTGATGAAATGTTGCAATATAAACCTATTTTTTTTTATCTTTCAGTTGCGCGTATGTCAGTTTGTGTGTATATTATAGCTATTTGTGGAGTTTTGTTTATTCCTTTTCATAATGGTATTTCATAGTTTTAAACTTTCAATTTATTTGAGATCGAATCTACGCACAGAATGATTAGATGAACTTTTGAAGAAGGGGGTAATGAAACATTATGAAACTTATCAAAGATACCAGGCTTTTAATTTGGGTATTCCAGAGGTGCGTTTGTCTAAATAAGATTTATCAGTAGTTCTGTAAATAAAAACAGTTGGAAAGCTCAATCAAATACGATGTGGAGGAACTTTAAAAATTGATAATATAGCTTACGTTACAATACCCAAATTGCATTCATTTTGCAAAAGAAGCAGCGGAAACCTTGTATGTTTTCTAAGAGACTGAATAATTTGTATTTTTATAATTTACCATTTTGACATCTTTTAAAATAGCTTAATATATTTTTATATGTACCAAACGGTCACATTTTATATCAACAGATGAAGTATCCCGAGAAAAAAGTTAAATTTACGGAAACGTCGCATGTCGCATATCATAGAATTAAACTTTTAATGTTCACAAAAAGACAACTTTTAAAAATGAGCAATTAAATATTTCCGAGGCATTAATTTCTTGCAAAATGAACAGTAAGCATGAACAAATGTCAAATTGTTCTAAAATGTTGAAAAACAAATCAAAACATCAGTTATTCGCTTTTTACGGATGTGATATTAAGCATGAATGCAATTTAAGTACTCCTCATTACAGAATCTTCGGTCGTTTTGAGATCGGTTCAAATCCATTTTTCTATGATTCAGTATGGATTCAAAATTAAATGTGTGGAACTATATAGCAATTGAGGGTACTTCTACAAAATTAACACAGAATGGAAACTTTTGTCAGGATCTTAAATAAACTTAGATGAAGAAAAAAAAATGTCAAAATAGGTGCAATTTGGGTACCTCCATGTAAGTGGATAAAAAGGAAACAATTAAAGTCAAAATTTACGAGAAAATAGTTGATTGTTTTGGCATTCATCACATATGAGAATATTTACGCATAGTTGTATTGATGTTTTGTACTTGTTTGTTCGAGTGAATTTTAAAACGTGACTTCAAAAGCTGTCTGCTCATTCAGAAAACGTTACAATGTAAAAACTAACATTTACGTAAGGATTGTTATTGATAATGTTGGAAAAAGACGTTTCCTTGCTACTTTTGTACAAAAATACATAAAACCTACAAAACCAGGTTTAGTCCACCATTTTCCATATAAGGAAATGCCATAACCAAGCCAGGAATATGACAGTTGTTTTCCATTTGTTTGATTGTTTGGGCTTTCGATTTTACCATTTGATAAGGGACTTTCTGTTTTGAATTTTCCTTGAAGTTCGGTATTTTTGTTATTTTACTTTTTAGATCGGCCAGCATCACTCATTTTCCTTATGTATGTTGTTTTTAGTATTGTATACCAAGTATATCTGCAGAATGTTAAAAAGTTTTAAACCGGTTACATACGGTCATGTTCTGTAAAAAGTAAAATCACAAAAATACTGAACTCCGAGGAAAATTCAATCGGAAAGTCCCTAATCACATGGCAAAATCAAATGACAAAACACATCAAACGAATGGACAACAACTGTCATATTCCTGACTTGGTACAGGCATTTTCAAATGTAGAAAATGGTGGATTAAATGTACTGATCGTGAAAGTTAAATCATTATAAAACCTTGTATTGATGGTTTCAGCCATATTTTGCTAATTTAAAAACAAATGTTTTTAATGCTCTTCAACTTCACAATTGTTTTGGCCTTTAAAACCACTGATTCAAGTACCACTGATGAGTCTTGTCTTAGAAGAAACTCGTGAACTATAATAAGCCAAAAATAAAATTTCTAAATTTCTTAAATTGTTTGCATTGCATATATTGGCTTAATTTTTGCACTAAAACATGTTGATAAATGTTAGAAAAAAAAATGTTATCTTAAAACATTGTAATTTGTTCATTGTTTCTTTCAAGAACTTTTAGCCTCACGGTTAGACATTACACCTAATTGTTTATAATCATCTGAAACTTGTATATTTTTTTTACATTAAATATGAAATTCATTCTGAGGTTTCAATATAAAAAAAAAATTGTATCCGTTTTCGGCATTAAAGGATATTAACTATTTCTCAGACCAATCGATTAGCTCACTCAGGTAGTGACCTATAGCTGATTTTATCTATGACGTGTCACGATCAAATTGGCTGAGATATGTAACATATAGAGGGAAGATTTCTGCAATATCAATCATAAAGACAATCAAAAATTAATCTTAATACAGAACCATGTGGATCACCAGCTGAAACACTCCAAAGGCAAGAAAGAATTAATGTATTGTGTTCGAGTAACTATTTAACCAGTTTACTAACTGGTCGTCGAAAATTTAAGACTTGATTTAATGTAATAAACCTTGATGTCAAATTTATCGAAAGATTTAGAAAAGTCACAGAAAGAAAATACAACTATTACTTTATCTTTAGTGAATTTAAAATACAGTTGAAATTTCTAATTGCGGTTGAAATATTGAACATTTTGGAACATAATATATAATTATATTCAGATAATAGTTTATTTCGTTGTAAGCAATTGAAAACGTGTTTACAAACAACTCGCTCCATTTTGTTTTCCAACACAACTACAAAGTAAAATGTGTCTATATTTATACAGTTATGACCTATCGCCGAAGATTATAAGAATAAAAGAAGAATGTGTCTGAGGCCACGAATGCCCCCGCTCAAGCTTTGTAATTTTCCAAGTTAAAAAGGAGCATAACTCTAAAACGGTAAATGACTCACTGCCTAAATTCGAACTTTGTCTGCGTGTTGTGGTTCTTAGCATTGTATATGAGTTTCATAAAATTTGCATGAGGCGAACTTAAGTTATAGTGCGGAAACGAAAATAAATGGGGCGGACGGAAAGACGGATGGACTGAAAGACAAACGGTCAAGGGTACAACTTAATGCCCCCGTTGCCTACGGCTGGGGTATAACAAAATTCAATCAATTTATAATGTTCCTGCCGGTGGGAAATTTGCATTGCTGTTAAGATGTATTAAGTATTATTTTAAAAGTATTGTCACTTTTTTAGGGACATATTGTTTAAACATTCCATTGCTTGTTAAAAAAGAGGGACGAAAGATACCAGAGGGACAGTCAAACTCATAGATCGAAAACAAACTGACAACGCCATGGCCAAAAATAAAAAGACAAACAGACAAATAATAGTACAGATGACACAACATAGAAAATTAAAGACTAAGCAACACGAACCCCACCAAAAACTGGGCGTGATCTCAGGTGCTCCGAAAGGGTAAGCGGATCCTGCTCCACATGTGGCACCCGTCGTGTTGCTTATGTTATTAAAAATCCGGTAAATAGTCTAATTCGGTAGGTCACATTCGTGAAAAGAGAAGGGTATTGTGGTTACGACATAAGGAACATATCCGATATCATCTGTGAAACGGTTATTCCATAACGGTCAACCAACTCGTGATGGCATCCGTAAAATTTACGAAGGGATGATTTCAACTTCACCATTTGGAACTCTTGGTTTAATAGCTTCCTTGTGAGCAGCAATCCTCTATCAAGGAAATCATGATAGGAAATACAAGCCCGGGAATATCATATCAATTGGGAGATATATACTCCGTATGCAGGCGGTGCTGGAATGTTGCTACATAGAAATGGAAAGTTCACAATTGGGAAGCTGAAATCATCTCTTTTGTCGTAAAGTTTTGTTTTCAACCGACCCTCATTGTCAATTTCTAGATGTAAGTCAAGATATGAGGCAGACTTAACTGTATCTGTTGTATCCTTTATCTCTAGTTCGATGGGATAGATTCGTTCAACATAGTCACCAAATTTTGTATTATTTAGGAGAGAACATCAACTATATAGCAGAACGTAAAGTTAAAGGATATTGCTAACTTCTTATCTTTCTTCCTAAGAAGTTCCTGTATGAAGTCAGCCTCATAATAATAAAGAAACAAGTCGGCAAGAAGAGGGGCACAATTGGTTCCCATTGGAATTCAGACAGTCTGTTGAAAAACAGTTATGCGCTTATATATCATACTGAGAAACCCTACCATAACGACTTCACCTAAGAAACCATTAACATTCATTGCATGCCAAACCTTTTTTGACAATGCCGCTAAGTGTGTCAAGATTTACAAGGGCTTCTTTCATATTTCTGAGCATCTATTTGCATAGCAACTAAAAAAGGGCATCTCGTGTATATTGAGAAAGTTGGTGCCATAAGTGGTTCGTATGAGAT